CTTTAAGTGAGCGAAACGACCAGAGAAACGGTGACTTTAAGTGAGCGAAATGACCAGAGAAACGGTGACTTTCAGTGAGCGAGACGACCAGAGAAACGGTGACTTTCAGTGAGCGAGACGACCAGAGAAACGGTGACTTCAGGTAAGCGAAATGACCAGTGAAACGGTGACTTTATGTGAGCGTGATGACCATGTTTTTAAACACATTTACCTACTTATTTGGACATATACACGAATGAAGCGCTATGACAACATGAACCCCACGCTGTTAGACTGACAGTGGCTCACCTTTAAACATGAAGGGCCTCCCCCCAAACACCAGACCTCATTCAGTCGTTGGTTTTTAGACTAAATCTGGTCGGTCTGTTATAGTATGGATTTAGTCCAGAAATCATCATTGAACATTGGGCTGTGATTGGTCGCTCTGATTTTGTCCCTCTTTAGTCCAATAATAGAAGTTTCAAACCCAGTTTTCAACAATCTGAAAGTAACCAAATGTAGACGTCGTTTGAACGTAAATCATGTCGTCTTTTCAGCCAGTTTCTGCTGGGTGGTTTAGAGCAGGCATTCACAGTTTAGTCCCACAGAAGACTCAGGTTAAAGAGCCGTAACATTAATCTAATTGTGGTTTTAAAAACAGGAGATGATGATAGATTTTGGAAGACACATGGATGGGGTAGAATGTGAGGTGGAGGATTATAAATACCAAGAGTAACTGTGCAGTCTGCAGTGAGCAGCAGAGCAGCCTTGACTTCCTCAGGAAGCTTGGGTCCTTCAGCGTTTGGAGGAAGATGCTGCCCCTCTTCATCTACTGGGGTAACAGCATCAGGCCTGTCCTAGAAGCTCCTGATGATGGACAACTTTAATAGTCCTCTTCAGACTGCAGTCAGAGGCTCCTCCAGATCCTGTTCAAGGCAGACCATACCGCAGATCCTCCCTGCTGTCACAGCTTCCATCACTTTATCTCCCTGTGAGAGTAGGACAGATCCACTGATGGATGCTTAATAGTGTTTCTCCCTTCAGGTACCTGTGGCAGGAGTCAGCAGTGGCGTCCATGATGCTGGGAAAAGCATTGAGAAGACAGAGACCCTGTTCTCCCAGGAGAGAGATCCACGCTTTGCTGAGATGTACACCAGCATATCTGGCTGTAAGTCACATGTTTGCTAAAACTCTTTGGATGGGCTTTTGTGTAACAGCAGCTTTTTATCCAAAGCGGGAGACAAGAAGATGATGGTTCCTTCCTCCACGGCGGGAGGACAGCCCCTCTACACCCAGAGCTCTCCTTTTCAGCAGGGCCACTCTGGAAAGAGCTTCAGGTGCGGTGCAGCCATGTTGTCCCATCCAGGGGTTCCCTCCCTCACAGCAGACCCTTACAAGGTTTTTTTCCTTCCCAGTTCTTCGGTAATTCATGTTCCTGGTGTTAACGACATCCAGTCCTCGGGATCGTCCAATCAGAACCTGGCTCAGATCTCCAGACAGCTGAACCCAGGCCAGGTGGCATGGTCAGGCAACCGGCCCCCGTTCACCGGACAGGTAAACATCATACTAGGGGGGGGCACTCTTTTCCTAAGAAAGCCATTTTCAACACAGTCACATGATTCAATGTAATGGTGAGCCAATCTATCACAGACCTTCCAACCAGCCTAAACTAGATCGGTGTGATCTACCGTAGAATAGAATTCAACTTTATTGGTATTACTCTGTCACAGGTACGAACCCCTCCCCCTCGGGGAGCCGTGGGCTGCCATTGAGTGGCTCTCAGGGAGCAGTGTGGGGTTAAGGGTCTTGCTCAAGGACCCAGAGTGGCAGTCTGTGGGAGTGGGGCTTGAAATCAGAACCTCTGGGATCCAATCGTAATGCTCTAAACACTAGGTGGTGACTCTCCCTTACAGAGCAGCAGCAGGTGTGGTAGCGATGGACGGCAGGCTCCATGGCTAATGTCAGCCAAGCTGGCAAAGGCTTTGGAGAGGAGATTGAACGTGAGCAGAGGAAAAAGACAGATGCAGGTTTCCTGTTTTGGGAAAGATAGTGATAATCACTATCCAGGATTAAAGCTGGAGTGAACCTCTAGGATTTGTTTTACCTAAGTAACAAAAAAACAAATGCCAAGCAAAAAATGATTCTACTCAGGTTTGTTAAAATATTGAGTAAAAGTCCAAGGTTTTACTTCTGGTTAGATTGTTAGTGTGGTTTAAAGGAATAGTACACCCAAAACATGATTAGCCTTCATTTTCTACTCACCCCCATGCTGAACAACACCCTGGAGT